TTTTTACATTACTTTATTTTCTAATTTTTAGTCCATTTATAAAAGCGTTATATATTAGATATTAAAATAATTCAACTTGCAATGAAAGAGAACAGAAGACTATGCAAGCAAAATGTTGTTTGCTTAGGTTTTGTATAAACATACATATGTACATACATACATATAGCAGCAGTTAATTTCATTTAAAGAAATGGCGTGTCGTCCACTTCCGCTGTAGCATGGCANAGTCTTCTAATTGTATCTCCTTGATATGATGCCTACAACGAGGTTCATATCTAGACTAGGTTGATATCTAGAATTTGCCATAAATAGCTTTGCTCTGGTTTTACGTTCTTTGGCAAATTACGCTCTGTTAGCCATAAATTTTACTAATTTTTGACCGACTTTGAATCAAGACCCATGGTCCAGGGGAATTCATTTATATTTTAAATTGCATTGTCATCGTGATTGGAACTATGCTGAAAATTTCAAGTCTCTAACTTGTCGGGAAGTTAGTTTAAAATCGATTGGAAATTTCCACAATTTGCGCGGGATGACCAAGTTAAATAAAAGCTTATAAAAATCGCGTGCATCAAAATACCTTTCTAATGATATATATTTGTTTATACCTTAGAAGTATAGTTTAGCCGCAAAAGGGGTGTAAAGAAACATGATTGCCTATTTATATAATTGATTTTACAGCAATATCTGGAAACCAAAATCAAAACAAGACTACAAATTGCGCAGTTCTTGCCATACGCAACACAAATTATTTTACAATAACACAAAAAATAAATATCAAAACGATTTTGATCTTAGCGCAATAACTGTGAAATTTTGTACAAACAACCCCATGCACCACACAAACGACCGACGCAAGCCCGATATTGCGCAATGTTTTTGTATCGTTTAGGGGCCCTATAACAGCGGCGTGCGCAAGGAAATTCCGAGTCGGGCATGTGCGCATTGCTCCCGAAATGCAAACACATGTCAGACGTTGATTTTGAAGTAAAAGATAATTTTTTTCTCTTGTGCAAATAAGTTTTAAAAATTAATTACAATAAATGTTTGTAATTTCAGTGTTGGTCAGATACCTGTATTTTGTTTCTTTATAAAAATTAAGTAAAATATATATATATATACATATCGATACTGGGAAATCGATTTATTTTTTGACGATTTCCTCCTGCATAGATTATTTTTATTTCGATTCGAAAATCAATTTTTTTTTGATATCACTACCTCGAGGAAGTGTAAAAAACAAAATCAGTTTGTAGGGGGCGAACTTAGCTTTGCTGGAAGAATACTGGCTTTTTATGCCGAAGTTACTGATTCAAATCTCAGCGAACTCGTTGAAGAAAATATAAAACTATTCTGCCTTATCCCGAGTTTCGCCTGAAAAAAAAACTCACCCGAAAATTTATCATCCGCCTATAGTAAAACCATAGAAACCAAAACTGACCCGGTTCGGCGGAAATGAAACTCATGATAATAGGGAATTTACATGAGGCGATTTTTCAGGCGATTTTTAGTTGAAAGCAACAATCGCCTGGTGTAAACGGCCTTTCAACTAATCGCTTACAATGAAGTTGGTCGGCTGCCTACTTTCGTTCAACTTTTGGTTCAACTAATCGCCTGTGAAAGTTGAATCATGTAAATTCCCTATAAGGCTGCTTGTTGCTTTTCACATAAATTTTTCATTGGAAACGGCCTCAAGTGCTTTGAAGTTGTTGAAAAAGAATAAAATTATATTTTTGAAATAGAAATTAATGACCATCATACCATACTTTGAAGAGCTGAAAATGCATCGAAAAATTTTCGTCTCTAAAATATTAACGTAATATTCATGAACGATTTTTCATTCCTCATAGGTTCCAATTGAAGATATCATCGAAGAGGAAAAATCCTCACGTAAAAGTCCGCCCGAAAGTGATAAGGAGAAATCACGTGATCGCGATATATCGCTTTCAATGGCGCCATTGCCCATACCATTGGGTCCACTAGGCGGTTTTGCAGGTGACTTAATTTAAATTATCTATTCTTAATCACATATACATATATAGACAAATATACACACACCCACACAGCTAATCAATCCTACACATATGAATGGAGTTTTCGCCTAAATATTACAAAGAATCTACCCTGAGTAAGGTGGTGAAGCAGAAGATTCCATTTGCATTCGTTGAATAAAATAAACTGACCCAAGTAAAGTTAAATAGCCCACTGTAAATTTAAAAATGTGAACTATTTAGTTAATTAATGGCATAGTTAGTAAAAATTAAACGGTTAACCACACGCTCAAATAGTATTCTAAATGTTAAATTTGTTTAAAATTAGACCACCTTTAGTCCAATCATAAAACAAATTAAATAAAAAAGTAAATAAATAAAAAAATGCAATGCATTATTGGTGCGATTAAATTGAGAAAAAATGTGCTAAAAAACTGGCATACTACATAATACGTTGATAATAAATTTAAACTAAATTTATTAAATTTAAATTTTAATTTTTATGTAATAAACTTAAAAAAAGTAGAATTTGCACCCTGAATGCTCTGAATAAATAAAATGAATAATTCGTAATATTTCCTCAAGTTTTACTCTTACTTAAATATGTAACACCTATGACCCAAATTACCCGAAAGAACTTTCACTTCTTATGCAAAATCGCTCGTACCAACAACTTAAACTTTTTTGTTTTGTAAATTTTGCAACTAAATTCACCAAATGTACGGTTTAAATTTCACCACTCATGATAATCAATATTAAAAATAGTCACTTAAAAGTAAACGCAAAGAACGCATAAATAAAATAAATTTATTGATTTTTTTTCTTTCTATGTGACAAAATATAAATAAACCAAAATTTAAAATCGTTTAATTCACTTTGTTATTATGTATCTTGTATCTCTATCTCACTATCTCTCTATCTTTCTATCTCTCTCTTCATCAATAAACGCGTACTCTGAACTCTCACTATCTGTGCTCTCGACTCATAAAAAACAACCTACGCCCACCCAACACTGCGTGTCACTTTTTAACTCTACTCTACAACCGATACAACCACTTTTATTACTACTACTACTACTACTACTACTACTACTACAATAATCACAACATTTCGTAACAATTCAAAAAAATGCAAATATTAATTATAAATCTTTAACATAAACTTTTGCTTAATTAATTCCTTAAGACATCTTAAAGCTAGATCAATTCTTTTCAGACGATGGGAAAATTATAATTATGGCAGGTGAAGCATCCCAGCATTCAACCAGCATTCACGTATTCCTATACTATTTGTTTCTTTCTTGCTCTGCTCTACTCAACATTCTTACCTACTTACTTACGTACTCACTTACTCACTTACTTACTTACTTACTTACTACTTTCATTTTCATTAATTGATTAATTGATTGATTGATTTTTGCTGCAGCAATTTTGTAAAGACAAATTAAACGTTTCGTTGATTTTTTAATGATGCTGATTTTAAAAAAAAATGTTTTAAATAGTTCTAAAAACAATTAGCAACATTTGCTAACACTTCAAACTGAACAGCAAAAGACAACACCAAGTTTACAACAACAAACCTGAATAAATCCTTTTAGCCACTGAAACAAATATTTTGCAACACCGTCACTTGCACCCTGTACACTGCAGCGCACAGTTTATTTACTTACTCCACTCACCAACAAATGTACATACTTACATATACCACGAGCACACTTTCGCCACCGCTTTTATTACTACAGACACTATGTACGGGTATAATACCGAATTTCCACTGGGCATTAAAATGAGACAAATTTTTTTTACAAATTAGGACAAAATGCCACAGATTTCCAATAGCGAAAATGGTCACGAGTGACATTGCCACTAATGAGGATTTTACAGTACAAATTTTCGTTATGTATACCTTTACCGGAAGCTTAATATTAAAAAAGGGGCTGTAGCGACATATAGTGAATCAGCTAACGTAAAGGCTCATTATTTCTTGGGAGTCATAATATTGTAAAGGGGCCTTTCTCTACAACCCCTACAAAGCTTCTACAAAGCAAAATTCATTCAGAATTACTTTTAAGCATACAACTGCGTAAAAGAAAGGCTTCTTGTAATAGAATACTCAATCGCAGTCTTCTCGGTAGGCTTATAGCCCGAACACAATGAAAACGACGAGCTACGGACCACAGCTGTCAAATTATTTTTTTCACGTATTCTTATGTAGAACATTATTTTGGCGACGACAGGGCTACGCGACAACTGTGGTNACAAATTAGGACAAAATGCCACAGATTTCCAATAGCGAAAATGGTCACGAGTGACATTGCCACTAATGAGGACTTTACTGTACAAATTTTCGTTATGTATACCTTTACCGGAAGCTTAATATTAAAAAAGGGGCTGTAGGGACATATAGTGAATCAGCTAACGTAAAGGCTCCTTATTTCTTGGGAGTCATAGTATTGTAAAGGGGCCTTTCTCTACAACCCCTACAAAGCTTCTACAAAGCAAAATTCATTCAGAATTACTTTTAAGCATACAACTGCGTAAAAGGAAGGCTTCTTGTAATAGAATACTCAATCGCAGTCTTCTCGGTAGGCTTATAGCCCGAACACAATGAAAATGACGAGCTACGGACCACAGCTGTCAAATTATTTTTTTCACGTATTCTTATGTAGAACATTATTTTGGCGACGACAGGGCTACGCGACAACTGTGGTTGTGGCCGGAATAAATCTCTTCTTTTATGTCAAACTCATCCAAATTCATGATGTCGCTGCCGCATTCGAAAGTATCATGTCGCCATCGACAAAGCGTTTAGATAATGAAGATAACAAATTGGAATCTGTTGACCGTAGCTTTCAATGTGTTCAGCACTTTAGTTTTAAAATCTACAGTGCAACAAATCCCATTCGAAGGTAATAATTCTAGGATAGGCACAGAAATATTCCAGGAAACTGCATTGGCCCGGAAGGGAACTAATCTGTAGTTGTATAATTCTGTCTTAAATGTCTTAAATGCCATCAAGCTAACTATTTTCAAACGAACTATGGCTCATATCTGTTTTCATTGATCCTCCTTTAGAGGTTGAATTTATCAACGCAAACTGTTCAAATGAAGCTGGCGTGATAGCTTCCGCTCTAATGCCGCCACTGTCTTGCCTTGTCCTAAATAAGACAATGTAATCTGAAGCACCGCTTAAACGATTGTCCAGCGGACTTAAGAGTCCTCGAGTTTTAACAGCGTTATCCGTTGTGTGCGGAAAATAAATGGATCATATACTTGGGGAGGTAAAAACAATGTATGTATGTACATCAGGTCACTCTAATTTATAGCAATGGTGACTTCTGGCTGAATTGTGACTCTTTACATTTCCTACATAGTGTGGCTGTCATAAGCTATTGTGAATCCCTACCGCGATGTATGACCCGTACAACACAATAAGCTTTTCACAATCTTCATTTTCTATTTTTAACAAAATTTATAAGATTGGCAAAACCAAAGTAGCGGTTTGCGGAAGGTGTCACCTTCTCTCCGCTACATCGTGGGATGATGTCGTATTTTTCTTATGTATTTCACTCTGCTTTCTATCTGACTTTGACCGCGGGTATTTCTTTGTGTATAGGGTCGTTGCAAACACACCATGGCTCTTCTGTTAATGCCCTTCGCGTTCTCGACGAGAGCGTTTCGTTCCAGTGGTCGTACCCTCACAGTTCAATACCACACATCCACATTGGTTTAAAACTGCATTGTATAACAGTACTTATAGGCTAAGCTCAATGCCGATTTTTTGTATACTTAAAAGCCAACGTAAATTAACTGAGTTTAGTTTCATTTGCATTAACTTAGTTGTAAAATGTTTTCACCAAATACCAAGATATTAAACTTCGTTAGATTGAGGAATTGCGGCCTTAGTGCAAGTGTAACATGTTTCCACTTTTGCTCGTTGACTTCTATACGCCAATAAGCCATTATTCAATGAGGTTTATGTATTCCTTCGGATGGTCTAATAGAGCATTTTTTACGGCTAACTAAAGTAGTATCATCCGTAACAGTAGATTTTAATACTTTTGAAATATGTAGTAGAAAAAGTAGAAATTGTGAAGAAAATCGATTCTCTTGTTCCAATTAATAAATGTTACATAATAAAAACTAGTTGAAAACAATTGTAGGGTTCTCCCAAAGCGTACAAAATTAAAAAAAAAAAATAATCACCAAGATTAATATATTTTTGTCGTTTGTATAAAAATTTTGGGTATGCAGTTTTATGGAATTAAAATGCAAGTTGCAAGTGGCTAAGGGTTCGCGTTGATGATGAAACAGGGCAGAAACCCCATTTACGTGTATTTTGTTCTTACTTCTGCTCTCGAAAGTGTCATAGAAATATTGTTTTTTTTTTTTAATGTCTACTAAGGCCATGTAAAATAAAAAACAATAAAAAAATAAAAAAATATTGACTAAATTTGTATGAGTTCAAATCATCGATCCATTCCTTGCAAGGCCCCAAATATTGCGTTTGTAGCAGCACAAAGTTAAGTGAAATTTCCAAATGTCGTTTTCTATTGCATTATTTTATGAAAAATGGTTTCACATGCATTTTGAAAATGAAGAACTTTAGTAAACAAAATTAACAATATGTGGCATTTTAGAGACCAAAAAATCAAGAAAAAAGAATCGCCTGCTCTACTGTTACTACCTTTTCAATATGTCTTGCCTGTAACACTTTTTTTAAATAAACTCATACGCCATGTTGCACAAATTTATATACCTTTCAGCGAATTTGTGCTAATACAAAACATTTTATTTGTTATCAGAGTGTCCAAATTTGGCGACTTCGCGCCAATTTGGCGATTTTTTTTTAGATATTTGCGCGTAAAAATTTAGGAAATCGCCATTGGAGATTTTTGGCGATTTTTGCCCTTCAAAACGTTTCCAATATCAAACAGTATGTTATCAAGGTTGAATAGCTCAATATATGACAACAACAGAAATGTAAATAGATCACACACTACAGGTGATTTTCAAAAAAATTTTGGAAATAGCTGATCTCGCCTTATTATAGGTATTTATTTAATTTTTAGCGCCGAGCTCTTAAAAGCGGATTGTGCGAGTGAGTTATAATAAATTTAATAATTGCGCAGTCCTATTGCAAAATGTGTTGAAACAAATATTTTTTAAAAGTATGCGAATTTTTAAAGAAAATTGTTTGTACATCACTATTATATAAGTGATTTGTGTTATTTATTATCACCCTCTGAAGGTATTCTATTCGTTTTTGGTTTTAAAAACTATATTATAACAAGATCTCATTTTTAAAATAAAAGATTTGTTAAATTGATTTCATGAATTTTATTTAAAAAAAAATTGCGATTTTTGGCTATTTTTTTCATAAATTGCGCTTTTTATTTAAACAATCTGGACGCCCTGTTTGGTATTGAGTTTTTAGTATTTTTGTTTGTTTGTCTATACAAGAGTGTCAGCGCGTTTCTAGTTTATCGTGCTCGTGTTAGTCGCTGTCTTTGTATTCGTCTGCGGAAAGTAACCGTAATACTTATAGGGCAATTCTCGCAACTTTCTTTCACCTCACCACATTCTTCTGAAAGACAAAATTCTTTCGTAAGACAGTTGTCTATTCTGGCAGCTACTATCTTAAAAGCTCTTTACTGTCTTTCGAAAGACTAATTGAAACATCTGCTAACGAGGAGGTCTTGGCGTTATGCTGTTCGCCTGTTAAGTGTTTTTTTTTTAATCAATTAAATTTTAAAAACATATATATTTCTCTTTTGAAAACAATCAAAAGTGATAAATTTTAATTTAAGTAAAATATTAAGGCAAAAATAAATAAATAAATAGTTTTAAAAATTAAATGAAATTTAAATAAAAATGTGATAAATTTAAATTTAAGTAAAATATTAAAGCAAAAATAAATAAATAAATGGTTTTAAAAATTAAATGAAATTTAAATAAAAATGTTTTCTTCTTTATTAATTAAAAGAAGAAAAGAAATTAATTAAATTAGAAGAAACACGCCTATGCTCTGCGCACTCGGCCATTGCGACTGTTGGAGTGACGCGAGTGGTGAGTGAAAGAGCTTCTTTCTAAGAATTTGATGCTAGAATAACAAAAGTCTTTCGAACTATCTTGTCATTTGTCTTCATTTTTCTTACGAAAGACTATTTACTGTCTTAGCCACATTTTCCCTATTAGTGTTCGTATTAGTATTCGTATTTCATTTCGTATTCGTTGTCGTATTCTCAGAAAAATAGTGTAGGTGGCAACCTTTATCTGGTCACTACTGTATTTCGGATCAGCTAATATTCCAAGTTTTTGTGGGGATACTTTATATGTATGTCTGCCAACATAACTCAGCTCTGTAAAAAAAAATGCAGACAACACAGACATATCATCAGGGTTGCATACATACTATTTACATACATATGTACACACTTATATTGCACATTATTAAACCAACACAAACTTTCCAATGCATGCGTGAATCTGCTTCATTTTTTTGTTTTTTTTTTTATATAATATATTTTTTTTCTTTTTGTATATAATATATTTTTTGTATTTTTATAAGAAAAATAACTATATGCATACAGACGTATGTATGTACATATTTTGCTGTTTGTTTTTGAAAGCAACTTTGTAAATATTTACATATTATTTTTTGAATCTTGAAGCAATGAGCGCCACTAAAAATTAATTTTAAATTTCTACAAATAATAGTTGCATGAATTGTAGCCAGATGCGAACCCAAAAAAAATGATTTAATCTAGATAAACCCCAGCCACCCCTTGCAACCATACCCCATGTAAAATATGTTTTGCCTTTTCTAGCATTCCCTGTGTATTCGAGTTTCAAAAAGAAAAGTAAAAGTAATCTGCAAATTCACCGTCAAAACAACTGACTAATATTCCATATTTGTTTCTCGTTTAAATTTTCGCTCGTGCCTAGGACCAGTGCCAGTTGCAGTGCCACAGCCGGAACCACACTCCGTGGGCGGAGTGCTCGTACATATGCCGCACGTTTGTTCCGTATGTATACAGGATAAAGAGAAAATAAAATTAATATCCAGCAATTATATAGGCATAAGACATATATGACGTTTTTTTTTTAATTATTTGAAAAAATGTTTATTCATATAAGGCCGGGTTTCCACAGTGCAATAAATGACGAATATTTCGTATGTGAAAGTGGGGTACTAAAGAGCATAATCATTAAGGGTAATTCGTTCAAAGAGCTTTTAAAATTTAAAAGCCTTTTAAAAACAAAAGTTTTACGAATGTCTTTAACCCTTGAAGACCAAGGGAAAATAAAATAAAAATAAAAAGTAATGTATTTATATCTAT